CTCATTACAGTTTTAGTTAGTTTTCCTTTTTTTGTTTTTATTTTTATTTCCGTTAACGAAAATGTTTTTTCACTTCTAGTTTTCGTTATTTCGTTAGTTTTCGTTAACGATAATAACCTTGCCAGGGAGGCAGCCGCATCCTCCTCGCCCGGACTGCCCAAGCCAAACAGCTCAAAGCTGGTACTTGCCCTCAGCACGGTTACAATTCGAATTATTTTTGTAATGTCCAAAAAGCTCACTACACACTACCTGTGTGTGAAGTGAAGGATGGGATTTATTTATAGTGAGTGGAAAAAACAACATGTACAAATGCAGCAACATATACAAAAAATGCATTAGCTTACTTAGACCCAGGCCATGACAGTAACCTCCACTAAAGCTGTTTCTGTGCTGTGATGAGCTCTGAAACTAATGTTGGAGATTGGCCTTTATTACAGTTTGTTACATGTTTTTGCTTTTACGACTCCAGTAACACGTCAAAAGATTTTGCAACTTGCCCACAAACAAAGAAATGACCAGTTTCTATGGTGGGTTTATGTGAACAGTGAAAGACAGAGCAATGAGGAAAAGCATCTAGAAAAATGTATTTGAAAAACGTTACACATTCATTTTCATGAAGGGAAAAGTATTTGATCCTCTGGTAATCACAGAGGTCAGGCGTGTCGTGCAGTTGCAGGTTTTGCACACATCTCAGTTTGGCCCACTCATGTTTGCACATCCTCTCCAAGTCAGAAATGTTTTGTGGCTGATGAACTAAAACCTTCGGCTCCCTCCACAGATTTTCTATGTATAGCTTCTATTATAATGTGACTGTGTTGTATTAGTGAATATATTTTGATGTTAATGGCACTGGTAATGTTGTGTTTAAAGCCAAACTCAACAGAGAGTTTTGAAAAAGCTCGATTCTTCTCTTTCCTATTAGCACTCCGCTCCATTAGGGGGAGGCACTGAGCTGTGGCGTCCCCTGCGAGCGCTCAGCCTGCTGCCTCCATCACGCGGCATCAGGAACCTGCTGCTGCTGTCGGACGGCCACATCCAGAACACCGAGCTCACCTTGAAGCTGCTCAGAGACTATGCTCAGCACAGTCGCCTCTTCACCTGTGGCCTCAGGTCTGAAAAGGGTTCTGAGTGGGAAAATGTGTCGTCCTACAGCTGTGGGCACAAGTTTACATCCATTTATCATGAACATGATCGTCATGGTAACAGTAGGCTTTCATGAGTTCTCTGAACTGCTCTTTTTCCAAGATTATTATACAGTTTACATCTTTAATGAGCTTAAAAAACAAGACATGGGTACACAGTTTGTAAACTTTTGCCCACAGCTGTATACTGTCGTATTAAAGTGTGTCCTGCTGTTTAAATGCTACAGTCACCAGTAAGAGACGTGAATTTACAAAGCACAAGGCCTGAATGTCAACATTAACAACACGGATCATTGTAATGGACTCTGTGATGCTCTGCACACTGAGCTTCTTCTTGATTTGATCCATTTGATCTTTTAAATATGTGTAAAGTATATCTATGTGTCTGATGATTTTAGCACGATGGCCAACCAACACATGCTGAGAGCCCTGGCTCAAGCAGGGGGCGGAGCCTATGAGTTCTTCGACACAAAAACCAAACACAACTGGGCAGAGAAGGTGAGTGCTCATGTCATACATAAGCAGCTGTTAATTGTTGTTATTCAGTTGTTGACTCGTTATAAGAAGATCGTAAATAAAATCCAAAATTTTCTCTGTTTTGTTTACAGGTGGCCTGTCAGCTGAAGCGTATGGCATCTCCTGGCTGCAGTTCAGTGTCTGTCAAGTGGCAGCAGTTCAGCCCAACAAGTCCACCTCTGCAGGCTCCCAAGCAGCTGCATGCTCTGTTCAATGACTGTCACACTCTGGTTTATGGCTTTGTGCCACACTGTACTCAGGTAAGCTGCTTCTCTACTGCGCTGAACACAGCCCTGCCTTTTCCTTCTTTTCTGTCTGTTAGAATAGAAAAGAATAGAATTCAACTTTATTGTCATTGCACATATCATGAAATGCAGTTTGCATCCATGCAGAAGTGCTTTAGCCATGATATAGGTATATTACTAAATATATATTAGCAATAATAAAGATATATTACAAAAATGGGTCTATTATGGGTGTGTTACAGTGTACACGGTATGAAGGTATGTTATGAATATGCAATAACTATAAGTATATACAGGCTGTAGTAGGGCTGTGTGACATGACAAAAATCTAATATCCCGATATAAGACATTTAAATGGTAAATGGCCTGTATTTATATAGCGCTTTACTCGTCCCTAAGGACCCCAAAGCGCTTTACACATCCTGTCATCCACCCATTCACACAC